AGGGGGAAAGAGAGAAGGGAGGGAAGGAAGGAAAATTTTAAGTAAAAAGCCAGGTATAGTGGCTCACACCTGTAGTCCCAGCACTTTAGGCGGCCCAGGTGAGAGTATCGCTTGAGCCCAATCGTTCAAGACCAGCCTGGACAACCTAGTGAGACCCTGTCTCTTTAAAGAAAAAGAAAAACGTGAAAAAAATTTTTTAAAAGCCTCGATGTTCTAAGGAGTTCATGCCAAGGTGTTTATGGGCGAGTGCAACTTGAAGATATTCAGCCAAAAAGTGTGTGTGCATGTAAGAAGTAAAGTTTGTAAAAAGGACAGAATATTAGATCGTGATGATGAGGCAAGGTGAGTGGGTACTCTTGTACTGTTCTTTCACATTTTCTACAGGTTTGAACATTTTTGAAACAAAAACTTGGCAGTGACTCTTACATCTCTAAATGCAGGTGACGTGTTTCATGGCATCAACAAGGAGGATCATAGACACTCGGCCCCAGCTGCCCCAAGGAACAGCCCCACGGGCTTGGCCCCCCTCCCAGCACTCTCGCCTGCTGCGCTCTCACCTGCCTCTACACCTCACCTTGCAAATCTTGCTGCCCCCTCATTCCCCAAAACAGCAACCACAACTCCTGGGTTTGTGGACACACGCAAGAGTTTCTGTCCTGCACCCCTGCCCCCGACCACAGACGGCTCCATTAGTGCCCCTCCAAGTGTCTGCAGGTGAGCCAAGTCTGGTTGGGGACATGGGAGCACTTTGGAAAGTAGGTGTCATGCCACACTAACACAGCTACAGAAAAACTCCCCTGGAACCATGCAGTTGAAAAGTCCAGTGAAATGCTGAGGGAATGCAGGGATGTCCGCAGCAGAGGCCATGAGTGGAGGGGGCTCCCATCTCAGCCTCTAGTTCTGCAGAGGGAAGAGCAGGGGCAATGGGCCGCCATGGATAGGTGGGCCAGCTACTGCTAAACACTGACAGCATCAGGGGGTTTACATTGTTTGTTACTTGTTGTGTAAGTTGTATTTGTTATACCTAGGGTGGAATCAGAAGAAAACGAACGGCATGTGTATAGGAAAAACACAATACAACAAACACTCAACAGGTTTTTTGCTTGTTTGTTTTTTGTTTTTTTTAGACAGAATCTGGCTCTGTCATCCAGGCTGAGGTGCAGCGGCACGATCTCAGCTCACTGCAACCTGCACCTCCTGGGTTTAAGTGATTCTTCTGCCTCAGACTCCCAAGTAGCTGGGACTACAGGCACATGCCACCACGCCTGGCTAATTTTTATATTTTTAGTAGAGGTGGGATTTTACTATGTTGGCCAGGCTGGTCTCCTGACCTCAGGGGATCCGCCCACCTCAGCCTTTCACAGTGCTGGGATTACAGGCGTGAGCCACTGCACCCAGCCACCATTTCTTTTTAAGACAATTTCTGTTACCTTTGAACTCACCTGTTTGAAGCTATGCCCCTTCTTCTCCATAGTATTGGAAGCTGTGGTTGCGGGAACAGTCTCCGAAGGAGTCGTTGGAAAGACTCTGTGTTCCTGTTCAGTGGTGCTCTGTGAGCACTGTGAGGGACCGCCTGCATGCACACGCACTTGCCATGCCTCCCACGTGAGCCCCTGGCCAGTGCCTTTACTGCTTGTGTCTGACTCCCTAGGAACCCTGGGCTATGCACCTTCTGCGCTTCCTCTTGTCTGTGGGTGGTGGTGAGCAGCAGTGCGAGTCGTTGCCTCCTGGGGCCGGCCACTTGCTGATGAGCTTGTGTGCGGTTTTGCAGTGATCCCGACTGCGAAGGGCACCGCTGCGAGAATGGTGTCTATGACCCACAGCAGGATGATGGGGACGAGAGTGCAGATGAGGACAGCTGCTCTGAGCACAGCTCCAGCACCTCGACCTCCACCAACCAGAAGGAGGGCAAGTACTGCGACTGCTGCTACTGCGAATTCTTTGGGCACGGCGGGGTGAGTGCATGAGGTCAGCACATTGTGATGTGGGAAGTGTGCAACACAGGCTTCTTTGCAGAAATTCTGTACTAGGTTGAATTCAGGGTATTCCACTCCTAGGATATACCCATCCTAAAGAAACAAAAATATTTGCCCAAAGATTGAGCCATAATGATTTCATTGCTTCATTTTATATTTTGTTTGTGGTTTTTAAGGTAATTGGTAAATGGTCGGAGGTTGTTAACCGTGGTATATCCATATGGTATGCAACATTGTAGCCAGTGACGGCAGTGCTGCGTGTGTGCAGCTGGATTTCTCTTGTTTGAATATAGAGAGTCTTGGTGCACACACATACTTCTACATACTTCCAGAGCTGTGATTTAATTTATACAACCAATTATCACCCGACGTTAAAGAGGGATGGGTGGTAGGAATAGCAGGGGCTTAGAGTTGTTCTTTCTCTGTTTAGGTCTGTTTGCAGTTCCTAAAACGTGCACATGTTGTTATAGTAAGAAATTTGGCAGTAGGATTCAGGGCAGTTTTTTTTTTGTTTTTTGTTTTTTGTTTTTGGCATCAAAAAGGAAACCTAGAAATGGATGGAAAGATTAGTAAGACACATTTATTGACATGAAAAGATACTCACACCATATTAAATAACAAGTAGAGGCCAGGCACAGTGACTCATGCCTGTAATACCAGCACTTTGGGAGGCCAAGGCAGGAGGATTTCTTGGGCCCAGGAATTGAAGGAAGATAGCTTGGGCAACATTGTGAGACCGTGTCTCTACAAAAAATTTAAAAATTATCTGGGTATGACAGCACATGCCTGTTGTCCCTGTACTTGGGAGCCTGAGGTAGGAGGACTGCTTGAGCCCAGGAGGTCAAGGCTGTAGTGAGCTGTGATCATGCCACTGCACTCCAGCCTGGGTGACAGAGCAAGACCCTGCCGAATAAATAAATAAAATAGATTAATCAGGATTTCTAATTGTTTCCTTTTTAGTTTAAAAAAATCCATTTATGTGCATAGTTGTACGTGGCTTACCAGGTTTTTCATGAATATGTAAAATTTGAGGGTAAGTATCAAAATGCTACTTTTGGGTGACTTGCTGATAAGTTTTTCTTTTTTTCTGCTGGTGGTTTTATTTTCTTATTTTTCCCGACAAATATATACTACTCGAGCAATGTAACAGTTTATTTTTGGAGGTACAGTCTGAAATTTATTACATTCAAAATTGTTAAAACTTAAGTGTAACTTTGTTGTTTTTCTTAGCCTCCAGCTGCACCAACAAGTAGAAATTATGCAGAAATGAGGGAAAAGCTTCGCTTACGGCTGACCAAGAGGAAAGAAGAGCAACCTAAGAAAATGGATCAGATCTCGGAAAGGGAAAGCGTTGTGGACCATCGGAGGGTGGAGGATTTGTTGCAGTTTATAAACAGCTCTGAGACCAAACCAGTGAGCAGTACGCGTGCAGCCAAGCGAGCAAGACATAAGCAGAGGAAGGCAAGTGATGGGTCTTGGCACCTGGGGGGGGTGCCAGGTCTGAGGGCATCTCAGGGTGCCGTGCCACAGCAGTCTCCAGGCAGGGCTGAGCTATAGGAGTTCGGGGCTCTGGCATGTATTAACTTGCCCACAGCATGCTCCGAGAGCCAGCCTGTCTCTGGTGGCCTGAACTGGAGACTGGTAAAAAAAATTTCAGTTTGTATTTTCAGGAAATTACATCCCCTTTTGTAGAATGGATTTGTTCTTGTGCTGGCCATCATGAGGGCAGCAGTAGACACTCCAGCTTTATCTGTTGGAGAACCTTCTTTTCCAAGAAAGGAGCCCTCAACTGTAGAGATAGCAGAAGGGCCCAGGTGGGCTTTGGGGGCCTGTGGGAGAAGAAATGTCTGATGCGAGACTGGGGCAGAGCATTTGGCACAGGGAAGTCTTCTGGACTCAGGTCTGAGCATGTCCCCCTTGTTCCTCTTGTCCCACTTGCTATTCCAAATGAAGACCAGCACATGGCATCGATTAGAAGGGAGGAGAATAAGTGTTTGTGGGAAGGCTTGAGCTGCTCACTCCTTGCCAGAGGGTGTGGTGTGTCACAAAAAGCAAATGTCAAATAGAAAAAAAAGTAGCCAGGCATGGTGGGGTATGCACGCTTGTAGTTCCAGCTACTCAGGAGGCTAAGGTGGGAGGATCACTTGAACCTCAGAGGTTAAGATCATGCCATTGCACTCCAGCCTGGGTGACAGAGTGAAACTCTGTCTCAAAAAAATGAAAACAGCTTTTTTCTCTTGGAGGATTTTCTAAATACCTCTATGCTGGAGCAGTTCCAAAGAGCCTCTGGTTTCAGCTCCCTAAAAATGTCAGGCTCCAAGAGGCAGACTTCAGTGAGCAGATGTGGGCTGCATGCAGAGGGAACCTGTAGGTTCTTGGGGTTCTGGCAGTAGGACAGGTGCCCTGGGAAGAGACGAGGTTTCTGTCTGCAGCCATGATCAGGCAAAGAGGTAAAGAGGAGGACAATCCCACAGTGGACCCGGAGCGTGAGCCCAATGCCCTGTGTTGTTGCTTCTATCTTAGCTGTTTTAATTATTCTACCTTCAAGGGCTCTGCTAGACTTGACTAGGAGGCTTTGTGGGAGAAGCCTTGTTCTGTGCCTCAGAAGACCAGAGCCTCCTGGAACAGGGAGAACATAGTGTGTCCTTCATTCAGGAGTGTCCAGCGTCAGGAGGCCCCACAGTGCTACATGGCCCCGAGACTTCCCATTGGGATTCACTGGAGGCCTCTGGGACCCCTTCTTGAGTTTTCAGGATACTCTCCACCCCAGGCTCTTGCCCTCTGACCTTGCAGGTGGTCTGGATCCAGACTTCAGGCCCAGCTGAACCTTACAGGCTGATGTCATAGGCCATGCTGAGCACCCAGCCCCACCTCGAGGGACCTTTTCCTGGTGCTTTCTACAGAGCAGCTCACAGATATGTGCTGAGGCTCACTGGCTAGCTGGTTGTTGAAGTGACGGCAATAGTTCACCTATGGACCCGGTCCTATAGCAGGTCCAATGCAGAGGCCTATGCTGAGGCAGCCACTCTGCTGGAGACCAGGGCATCTGCCCAAACTAGGTGTCCTTACATTCTTGTTATGGGCCCATATTCGACTAGGCGCCCGTGATGGATTTTTAGATCAGCTCTAAGAGGACGCCAGCTGGCCAGAATGTACCAGCGAGCATCCTGATGGAGTCAGCCCTCCCCTCTGTTGCAGTGCGGCTCCATAGCTCACTCCAGACACTGGACTGCAGGGCCCTTCCAAGAGCTGCCTGCCGGGTGCTGCTCCGGACATACACATGGAGAGGGACGTTATATCATTTTTACTTGGATTGTCAATTGAAAATTTTCGTAACATACCATTGTTAATTTTTTATCGTAATTTTAAAGTTTTTCAAAAGACAAGTCAATTTGCCTGTTAAAAGTATTGTGAAAAATAATATATACTTGGGGAGTACTTTGCTATTTCTCCAGGAGAAATGCTCTTGTCAGAGTTTCTCATAAAATGTTTTTGCCAGAGTTTCTCATAAGCCTCAGCACTTCTAAAGGTTGGTGGTGAGCAGAGCCATGCTCCCTACACTGATGGCTCTCATCTGCTTTCTGAACACAAAGAACACTTTCCATTTGTGCTCCTGGAGTATGCGTCACTACTCAAATGCAGTCTTCACTTGGGGTGAAAATTAATTTTCTGTCAAGTTGGACAGTGAGTCATTTGCTCTGTCACACTAGTGAAAATATATGGCGTTTTTGTTTATCTGCTAGGTTGGGAAGAAGGAATTTCTAGTTTTTTACTACACGTTTCTTTTTGTGGTGCCACCACCGCTCATTGCAGCCTCGACCTCCCGGCTTCAAGTGATTCTCTCACCTCAGCTTCCCAAATAGCAGGGACCACAGGCGTGCACCACCACATCCAGCTTATTTTGGTACTCTTTGTAGAGACGGGGTTTTGCCATGTTGCCCAGACTGCTCTCAAACTCACGATCACCGGCGTGAGCTGCTGCACCCAGCCTGCGGCACATTTCTTACACGCCCTGTTCAGGTGAATGCATTAGCCTTCACCTGGAAAGGTGGGCCTGCCCAGAGTTCTGGCGGCACATGTGCGGCCTCAGTACTGCACCGGCACAGACAGTCTGTGGTACTGGTTACATCATCCACCCAGCCAGGCGGCAAGATGCCCTGCCACGCCTGTGAGGGTAGTTGGCGCCCTGGATGTGTGCTTTGCAGCTGCTTTGTCCTTGGTTCCTGGTGTTTAGCACCAGGTCAAAGCGCATGGAGAATTTTTTCTTAACTCCCCGCCCCGCCAAATAAGCATATACATTAGTAAATAGATGAAATTTAACAATCCTGTAGAGTAAGATAATTGGAGGTGTGTGTGTGTGTGTGTTAAGCTTTATTACAGCCTCTTGAGAGTTTACGTTCCATATGTGATTCGTTTTTAAAACTATCTTAGTTTTCTGTATGTCTTAATTTTTAGCACTCACTGTCGTCTTAAATTGCCTTCTCTCTTTTCACATTGGCAGCTGGAGGAGAAAGCTCGCCTGGAAGCAGAGGCCAGGGCCCGGGAGCACGTGCACCTCCAGGAGGAGCAGAGGCGGCGGGAGGAGGAAGAAGAGGAGGAACGTTTCAAGGAGGAATTTCAGCGGCTTCAGGAGCTTCAGAAGCTAAGAGCTGTAAAAAAGAAGAAGAAGGAGAGGCCAAGTAAAGACTGCCCCAAGTTGGACATGCTCGGTAGAAATTTCCAGGCAGCAGCAGAGTCTGTCGCTAACTCCGAAAACATCCACAATTGCTCACTAGAGCAAACTGAAGAACCAGAAACCTCTTCTCACTTTCCATCTAGACATATGAACCACTCAGAGCCAAGGCCAGGGCTGGGGGCTGATGGGGATTCTGCAGACCTCGCTGACACCAGAGACTCGAAATTTCTCCTCCCCAAGGAGGTGAATGGGAAGCAGCATGAGCCACTCTCTTTTCTCTTCGACATCATGCAGCACCATAAAGAGGGAAATGGTAAGCAGAAACTGAGGCAGACCAGCAAGGCCAGCAGCGAGCCAGCGAGGAGGCCCCCAGAGCCCCCCAAGGCCACAGAGGGGCAGCCCAAGCCCCGGGCCCAGACTGAGTCAAAGGCTAAGTTGGTCGACCCCATATCCGTCACAGAGCAGAAAAGAGAGGAGAGAAAAGTCAACAGTAATAACAATAACAAAAAGCAGCTGAACCACATCAAGGAAGAAAAGTCAAACCCAACCCCTATGGAGCCCATCGCTCCCAGTGAGCATCAGCAGAACAACAAGCTGGTGCTGGCAGATTCCCCTCAGCCAAAGGGCAAGAACAAGAAAAGTAAGAAGAAGAAAGGAGACAGAGTCAACAATTCAATTGGTAAATACAGAATAGCAGGAAGACATTTCTGAGCGGTGCCTGGTTTTCATGTGTGGTGTGCTAGTAGGGGAAAACAGCAGGTTTGGCGTGCTCTCACCATCTGGCCTCCTGTCCTATAGAAGAGAGCATAGAGGATTTCTACACACACCTGTTTCCTAGCATCAGTATTTACCATGTTTGCTCATCATTCTCTCTCCTTCTCTCTCTCATTTTTCTGGATAGAACATGATACCCCTTTAACCTTAAATACTTCTGTGTATATTTCCTCAAGATAAGGACACTTATAAAACCACAGTACAGCTGGGTGTAGTGGCTCATACCTGTAATCCCAGCATTTTGGGAGGCCGAGGCGGGTGGATCACGAGCCTGGCCGGCATGGTGAAATCCGATCTCTACTAAAAATACAAAAAATTAGCCGGGCATGGTGGCATGAGTCTGTAATCCCAGCTACTCAGGAGGCTGAGGCAGAGAATTGCTTAAACCCAGGAGGCAGAGGTTGCAGTGAACCAAGATCACGCCACTGCATTCCAGCCTGGGTGACAGAGCGAGACTGTGTCTCAAAATAAAAAATAAAACCACAGTAGAGTGATCAAAATGAAGAAGTTGACACTGATCCAGTGCTATTTTTTAATTACAGGCCTTACTCGTGTTTCTCCAGTTGTCCCTTTAATATCCTTTATAACAAAAAAAAAAAAAAAAAAAGTTGTTGGTGTTTCTCCTGCCATCAGACCCAATCCAGCATCCCATGTCTTATCTCTTTAATTTCTTTTCCTTTGGATCAGTTTCTCTGTTTTTCGTGACCTTGACTTTTTTGAAGAGTGCAGCGCATTTATTTTTTAGTGTATCCTTTTGTCAGGGTGTATGCCCCATGTCTTCTTAATCAGATTCAGATTGTTTTTGGCAGCAGCACCATTGATATGACCACTCCCTGTGTGTGTATCCTACCAGCAGGCGGATGACAGTGTCTGTCCCATCACTGGGGATGGGAACTCTGATCCTGGGTTGAGCTGGTCTGCCCGTTTTCACCACGGGCAAGTTAATATTTCTCGTTTGCTAATTAGTAAGTGTCTTATGGGGAGATAAGTATCCTGTTTTTTATTGATCATTGACTGACTAGTTGTAGAATCCATTAATGATTCTTGCCTGAAGTGATTATTACTGTGTTTTCAAATGGTGATTTTTTCTTTTCTTTTTTTCTGAAACGGAGTTTTGCTCTTATTACCCAGGCTGGACAGCAATGGCATGATGGTGGGGTTTCTCCGTGTTGATTAGGCTGGTCTTGAACTCTTGACCTCAGGTGATCTACCCACCTCAGCCTTCCAAAGTGCTGACATTGCAGGCATGAGCCATGCCCAGTGGTGATTTTTCTAATATTATTCCTTCTGTATTTGTTACTTGCCATTCAATTATAGGAAGAGCTCTCCAACCCCATGTGTTTTTTTCATTCATTTAGATGGATTCACAGGTGTTTTACTTGATGCTATAGATAAGAATCTTTTGGCCGGGCGCGGTGGCTCACGCCTGTAATCCCAGCACTTTGGGAGGCCGAGGCGGGTGGATCACGAGGTCAAGAGATCGAGACCATCCTGGTCAACATGGTGAAACCCCGTCTCTACTAAAAATACAAAAAATTAGCTGGGCATGGTGGTGCGTGCCTGTAATCCCAGCTACTCAGGAGGCTGAGGCAGGAGAATTGCCTGGACCCAGGACGCGGAGGTTGTGGTGAGCCGAGATCGCGCCATTGCACTCCAGCCTGGGTAACAAGAGTGAAACTCCGTCTCAAAAAAAAAAAAGAATCTTTTATGAGTGATATTTATGTTGTTCTGATTGTCTGAGATTCAGTCAGTGGGAGCCCCCTTGGAATAGCTTTTTCCTTAGGCCATTTGATGCGGCCCTACCAGCCTTTAAGCACTCTATACTTTCTGTCATGGTTAGATGCTGCAGGCTTATCTTGTGCCTTCTCTGTCCCAGCCCTGAGCCAGTCATTTCTCCAAGGAGCCCTCTTCTTTTTCTTGAACAGTAGTGTTTAGAAACCCAGACCTGATCACTGCCAAGTGGCATTGCTTCTAGGCCGTCTCAGTCATCAGAGCGAGTGGAGTGGGAGTGTATGCCCACAAGCGCCTGCCGCCTACACACATTAGCGTCTATTTATCTGATTTCTGTGTACAAGCCATGGGTTCTCATGGCTATCCCAACCCCGCTCCTGTGCCACAGTGAGCGTTCTCCCTTCCCCTGTCCACATTTGTAACCCTTAGACAGTAAGCACCTGGACACCATCATCCATGGTGCCGTTACTGGCTTGCTGAGTCCTAGAACACAGGGAAAGGTTTCAGAAGTGCCTGCCCTTAACCTTGATGGAAAACTCTGGGCATGATTTGTTGTCTTTAGCCTCAGAGTGTGGTAATAATACTGAATTTACAAATGACTTAAATTAGTTCTTTTCACCTTTAGTACACATTCGTTACTCATTTGAAACACATCTGGTTGGATTTTTCCATTTGTATTCCATTTTGTTTTCTTCCCTACCCGGTCCCTCTTTTTAAAACTCTGTTCCCACCCACTCCCTGTAGGTAACTAATCAGTTTCTTAGTTGCTTTTATATTTTTTAAACAAAAGGTAGTATATTATAGATTTCATATTGACCTTTGGGGTTTTTTCCACTTAATATATTCTGGGAATCACTGCACATCAGTTGGTAGAGATTCTCCTCATTCTTTCTACAGCTACACAGCACTCCATAGTGATCATAGAAGTCATGTGATTTCTTCAGTCACTCTTCTGTGTTCGAGTGTTTAGGTTGTTTCCAGTGTTTTGATTTTTTTTGTTTTTGTTTTTGTTTTTGTTTTGAGGTGAAGTCTCACTCTGTCACCCAGGCTGGTTCAGTGGCGCAGTCTCAGCTCAATGCATTCTCTGCCCCGAGCCAGGTTCAAGCAGTTCTCTCGCCGCAGCTTCCCACGTAGCTGAAATTACAGGCACATGCCACCATACCCAGCTAAGTTTTGTATTTTTAGTAGAGATGAGGTTACACCATGTTGGCCAGACTGGTCTTGAACTCCTGACCTCAAGCGATCTGCCTGCCGTGGCCTCCCAAAGTGCTGGGATTACAGGTGTGAGCCACTGCGCCTGGCCTCAGTGCTTTGTTTTAATCATTATACCCAGTACTACAGTGAGTACTTGTGTGCGTAGGTATTTCCATATTGTTTGGAGGTGATTTTGTGAAGCACCTTCATAGAAGGGGGAGGGCTGGGTCAAAAGGTAAGTGTGTTCCGAATGTGGTGGCTCATGCCTGTAATCCCAATACTTTCGAAGTCCGAGGCAGGAGGATTACCCAAGGCCAGGAATTTAAGACCAGCCTGGGCAATGTAGCAAGACTCTGTCTCTACTTAAAAAAAAAACAAAAAAACCTAGCTGGGCACAGTGGTACTTGACTGTAGTCCCAGCTACTCGGGAGGCTGAGGCAGGAGAATCGCTCGAGCCCAGAAGTTTGAGGCTGTAGTGAGTCTTGATTGCACCACTGCACTGCAGCCTGGGTGACAGAGTAAGGA